GGTCGGGACGCACACGCTCAGCTGCTGTCTCGTGGCATTGTTAGGGTCTGCCAGAGCGTGCGCGTCCCACACCCCCTCAGTTCCTTCTCAACCATCCTAGGCTGAAGACGGGACTTGGGGTAGTGTTCATCTCTTCCCTGGTTACTGTAGGAACTAAGTAGAGAAATAGAAATAGTTAGCTAGACATTTCTCCGTTCTCCCTTTCCTTTAGCATAGTTCGTTAATTTAAAAAAAAAAATTCCCTCAAGTTAGTCTCTCGTTGAGACTTCCCCGGCTGCTCATACTTTCATTATACCGGGGTCTCCAGGCTTTAAGAAATGTGGCTCCTGCAAGGAGTCTGACGGGCACTCACTCTGCGTTAAATGCCTCGGCGAGACACACGTCCCTGTGAAGTGTCTCCACTGTACCAACTTAAAAACTAGAGCTCGCCGGGACAGAGACTTGTGGCTAAAGATGCGTCTCATGGAGAAAGCTCTGCAGCTGCCTATGGAGAAGAGCAGTAAACCCTCTCCCTCACGCTCCCCTGCCAAGTCAGAACCAACCGGGAGCGCGGCTTCACCCTCTCACGCGAAGAGGCAGGAAGCCCTAATGTCTCCTCTCAGAGACACTCAAAAGGGAAACGATCTCCCGCAAGGTCTTTACCCTTGGTGCTGACAGCGCCGAGAGCAGGCACCTCTGACCGCTCCAGCACCTCAGCAGCGGTTCACGCGGGGCACAAAGGCAGGGACCCGACTTCCCACAGCGGGAAGCTCTCCTTGGCACCGGTCCCACTGGCACCGACGATGGACCCGGTGCTGGCAGCGTCAAGAACGTCAGCACTGAGCTTGCCCGCCACCCCCGGAGCAGATTCAGACCCCCTGTGGGGCTCTCACAAACGTCTCGCGGCTCCTACTAAAGCCAAACAAAAATCACTCCGGGCTGCTGCTCACACTCCACGCTCCGCAGCGCACCAGCCTAGGGAGCAGCAAGAATTTCTGCACTAGCAGGATATCTCTGTGGCCCCTGAGCCTGACTCTCTGCTCCTAGACACGGAGCCCTCATTGTTTGAACAGCAGCTCTCGCCACCTGGCCTGCCTACTTTCACTGACAGCGAGAATGACATACAGCAGCAGGCAGAGTTCTCCCCACCTGAGTCTCCCCCTCCCCTAGAGCCATACATGTCCCAAGACATGAGGCATCATAAGAATCAGCCTCAGTTTCCCTAATTTGTCCCCCAGTGGGTGGGAACCCACTTTTCCTACCCGGTACCCTGGCCTCAGCTCCTGCCACCACTCCTCCTTGCGCCCCTTCTACCAGACCGCAAGCTCGTCCTGCGCCTATATCCCCAGCTCCATCAACATCTAGTGCTCCTGAACCCCCTCTTGAAGAGGTGGGCTAAGAACCCTTCCCAGATTTACTGGCTCCTGTCTCGCCATCAGCCGCAGAGGATTCCCTCATGCCTCCACTTCCACAGAACGTGGACAACTTTAAGCAATTCCAGGAACTTTTCAAGAGAG